ACGCTGTTCCTTGAAGTTTCTCAGAAACGCTTAGTAATAACGGACGCAAAACCAAAACACCGATTGGCTACTCGAGAATTCTTTATTGTAACACCAACATATATCCAACTTTAAAATTAAGCTTTACAACTAAGGTCTATGAACAAATATTACAATAGTAAATCACAATATTACTTCTGACAGTTTTGGTCTGACTTCTTTCTGAACAGCGACCGATGAGACGATGACTGGTGTATCGATGTCTCCGCGAAAAATATAATGAAGTTGGGTTTGAGCAAACAACCATGAATTGATCGTTCAATCTCCAACTACATTGACACTCCCCGGCAAAAATGGGATCCATCCCTTTTTTCATCACGACCAACACACGTTGACTCGGACGAGTGCGAGAACCTGGGTCACACGGACAGAGCTGAAATGGAAAACAAACAGAAAAGCCAACACACCACAAGCATACTCACAGCACAATCTCACACATAGATGACGACCTGCGCCTTCCAGTTGAAGGCATCCACTTGACAACTTGCAACACAATCGCCGCTTGCTAGAATGACTCTTGCAGAACGCAACGTGACCATAGCAGCACCGCATGATACTCCACGCACATCCTCCTATCTATTCACTACCAATTACCACTGCGATCGCTTGTCACTCATTCTGCCTCAGTTCTAGTAACGGTGACGTATGCGAGCCTCAGTCGTCTACACTCTCACTCCCCGGCGTGTGGGACCACAGAAAATCCTTATCTCCGTGTGCATTTCATTCTTAGCACTGACCTCCCCGGCGTATACGACCCATCTGCTGTCTTCAAAATCAATCAATTCATTCACGGATGTAGAAGACTCGAAACAAATTCAGAAGTAAGCACGACGAAAATTTTAACAAAATTATGCAATAACAACAAGGTACGAAAACAACGAGTAAACACAATGAATCCAAAAACTCCAATTGATATGACACACCTCACATATATACAAACACTACACACAAACTCGCAGATCATGTCTCGATGGAATTCCTTTGAAGAATCGCAGGACTTACACCAGTACGCCTGCAACCCTTCTCACGTTGACGATTGTAAGTTGCGGAATGTCCGGACACAATCAAGATTAACCAACAATTACAGTAATTGGAACTCACACAAATATTTAACACGAACATATGTACAATCAATACATCAAATGTTGTGGATTCTGGCATGACAAACTACCCTTGAAGAACTGTAGGACTTACAGCAGTACGCCTACAACCCTTCTCAGGTTGACGCTCTAGGTTGGAAAATCGTCGCAGAGTTCATTTGCTGACTTCCCACTATCAGCTATATCCTCAAATCTGAGCGGTAACACGCTCATGTCATTGTATCGTAAAATATAGATGATGAACAAACACACGACGTATCTGGTCAACCAAGCGTAGGCACAGAGTAATTTACACCAAAGATAATAGCATTCAAATAGTAACTTGAAACTAGAAATGCCTTTATTCATGCAAGTCAATTTAACAATTACTCTCTCGTTTACACTTGGCTTATCCTCACTAAACTGAGCAATATCTTTCGTCTTTCCAAATGCACCAATACTATCATAGTCATTGCACAAGATACTTGAGTTGCTGGGCATCTCTGCCATTGTGGATGACAACATTAACGACGACTGATTGATACCAGTTGATGAACATAGTGCTGGATCAGAAGCTGTTGTTGTTCGGCTTTCAGATATTTGTCTAACTGCAAGACTACCACGACTGCTGTCTTTTACCAGCAGCTCCGGTTTAGCACTATCATCTGATGATAGGTGGGCTTCACTCTGATCAATTACACTGGCGGTTTGACAAGTATGCATGCCTTCTGCAACTGCATCTGCATTTAATTTTACTTCACCTTCAAGTTGTACAGAACCTTTGTTCAACTTAGCAGTAGTAGGCATATCCCTCATCTCATCATGATCAACCAAAGACAAATGTGAAGTATCATGATCATTATCACGAATATTCACTTTACCGTCAATTTCATCATTTTCAAACTCTTTAATAACAGAAGTAGACAATTTTGGTTCCTCCTCACAAATCCTTAAAGGTTTTATATCTTCACTCTGACTAGTAATACCTTGTAAACTTGTGGAGTCAGAACTGCACTCTGAAGCAGTAACTCTATTCTGTGACACTCTATTCAACAATGGCTTACCAGTTGCAACTACAGACTTCTTCACCGCACCGTTATCGTCACACAATTCGGAGTCAGACCTGGATTTTACATTTAGCTTATCACTGAACTTGCTCACTGGTTCACAGTTCACCTTTGTATGCACCTCTTGCAAACGTGTAAAACACAACCGTGTTTGTCTTGCATCTTGTAACTTATCTGTTGAGGATGTACTACGAAACCTGTTACACTCACTAGGTCTATATGCATTACTAGACATCATGGAGCCTTCTCGATATCCACCTCTCTGAGGCCTATTCGTCATCAATGATTGCGTTTTTCCCTCAGACTGCTCTATTCTGGGGGTGAGATTCAATATACTGGCAAACTTGCTCATAGATAGATTGACACTATTGTTTACCAGTTCCAGAATGTCATCGAACTTTGGCTCGACACCCTCATCCTCCATACGGGAGCTTATCTTCACCCACTTCCTTTGCAGTCGAGTAGGTAGGCGTCTTGCTATTACTTCTAGTATAAAACTCGAGTTGAGGTCACTCATGCAATTCATCGAAATCAATGCATTCTTGTGATTCAGCAAATTATCCAAAAACTCAGCGAGTGCCTGGGAGTCATCCTGTAATTGACCACCATTACCCTTAACAGACTCGAATAATTTCCCTACAATCATCGAAGGTCTTCCAAACCTTTGACGTAGTATGCTCATAGCCTCGTAGTAGCCCTCTTTTGGCTTCATAAACTTACAGCACTGTATAGCTCTTGAAGCATCTCCAGTGCAATACCTCATCAAATACATTAACTTCAATTCATCATTTAATAAAAAACACTCAGCATGATCTCAAACTCCTTTACAAATTGTAAATAATCAGCCGGGTTTCCGTCGAAACACCGTGGTTCAAATTTAGGGAGTTTGATGTTCCTATTATCTCTGAACGGCGAAACAGTAACATCAACCAAGTCATGTTTAACATCAGACACATCGTTACAATTAACAGACAAGTCACCATGACTTACTTTCCTGTTTGCATCCAAGACACTCTGTCCCTTCTTTGACCCAGGCATTGTTGAACTTGACCCAATTCCAAAAAAGTTCCAGATATTGCTAGTTCAAAGAAGACTTCGCCGGCACCAGGAAAGATGAATGGTGACTATCCAAACTGTCACCAGCTATCCGAATCCGTCAGAAAATGTTTCCGCCGTCAGAAACTGACTTCACTGTCAGAAGCTGTCTGGCACGTCTCGTAAACCGTCAATGCCCAGCTCTCGCCACGCTGGGACTCACGCTGTTCCTTGAAGTTTCTCAGAAACGCTTAGTAATAACGGACGCAAAACCAAAACACCGATTGGCTACTCGAGAATTCTTTATTGTAACACCAACATATATCCAACTTTAAAATTAAGCTTTACAACTAAGGTCTATGAACAAATATTACAATAGTAAATCACAATATTACTTCTGACAGTTTTGGTCTGACTTCTTTCTGAACAGCGACCGATGAGACGATGACTGGTGTATCGATGTCTCCGCGAAAAATATAATGAAGTTGGGTTTGAGCAAACAACCATGAATTGATCGTTCAATCTTCAACGACATTGACAATATGTGTGTGGAATTGATCTGGTTTCCTTCATAACGAGCGACAGCTGCCATGGTTTTCCATACTTTACCAGACTTAGCGGTCGCGTGCGCCTAAGGTTGTATCTACTTATTCGAACGGTCAGATTCTTGTTCGATAATTCCTGATTTGTCAGCGCGTGTTGGGATTTGTAACGTTTTATATAACGGTAGCTTATTGTGAGCTTCAAGCCAGGATTACGAGACACAAGTCTTGTCCCCAAGTGATATGAGTATCTTACTGACGAATGTCGAACTACAAATACACATTTTTCATATCGGTAAACAATATTTTCATAGTAATTAGCGTTTAAAAAGGCGTTACAGTGCTTCTGAAATGAAAACTACGAAGACTGGGCAATTAGTTTACTAAAACCCAGCTTTCTCTATATAGCCTCTCTGAAAGGGGCTCCACTACGCTCTAGCTTGTAATTTAAGCAGCATGATATGGAAATTCCAGTACTCATGATAGAAACATATCAACCGCCGCCAAAGGATTTGTCAATTTTCATCAGTTTGCGTCTGGAATGGGAAGTTTAACACTGCTCATAGCTTATACGCGTTTCTAGTGACACCTGAATTATACACACATGAATTAACAGAAGCGGTTCCCTTTTGACTCAGTTTTATGCTTTTGCTGCCTAAGACACATACGACATCATTAACCACAAAATAATCGTAAAATTAGAAATTCAGGAGTTAATATTTATTAAGGTTCTTAAATAATCAGCAGCGACAAACAAGATGTTATCTTACATAGGTACAAACATATTTGTAGAAATGTATGGTTTCCACTAAAGGACCATCATAGGCTGCACCAACCACCAGTGAAGGTCGAGTTCTTCACATTTATGTTTTGCGCTGTAAGTACTATAATTCATATCTGTGTTTACGAATCTTCTGTTTTCTTTCGTCACATTACTTTCAAAATGTTAAATACCGATACTGTAGATACTAACTTTAAAAACTTTCAACCACTTCTGAAGTATCTTGGAAATACGTTTCAGAAAATCTATAACTTTTATTCGCTTGAAATGACGCAGGGATCTAAATGAAGAACTGTTTGATAGTAAATATCCCCTTTCTAATTTTAACGTTTACAGATCAATATAAACACAAGGAAATTGCAGCTTATCATTTTTGAGAAATGAGCTTCACCTCTGTCAGAAAATTTCAAGCATAACTGCATTCAGATTTAATGTCCACCCGGAACTCGAACGCTAAATGCATTGGACATTGAGGTGGATATATTGTACCTATCGAAGTGGAGGCAGGCAGTTGGTAATTTGCGTTACTTGGTGACTTCCGAAACTTACATCATGGATTTTCTGAAACGCTCTAAGTTCGACAAGTTAATCGGTATTGATTTTGGAATTCTTTAAATACATCATATTTTTCAGAAAAAGCAACTAGTGAGATGTTAATCGAATCGGATATTGAGGCTACAATAACGATTTGTGATATTATTCGCAGTCAAGAGATTTCGTAAGCTAATGACTTCTCTTATTTGAACTTAAGACCGAAATACGCTGTTCAATGTGTTAAAAAACGTCTTCAGTGTGACAATCCTAATGTTGTTCTACACACACTTGATGTATTATACACTTTTATAATAAATAGTTTCTGTAGGTCCTCGAGTCATTGATGAAAAATTGTGGCTCACCTGTCCATGAAGAAGTTTGTAGCTCTGAGTTCATGCAGGACCTTGTTGGGTTGATCGATGTAAGTTTGTTGACGACGCTTAACCCTGCCTAGACCTCTCCAGATGTCCGCGCAAAGCTCCTCGAATGTCTCCAAAACTGGGCATATGTTTTTCGCGATCAGTCCGGTTACTCGGCTGTAACAACTGCCTACGAAAATTTGAAAAATGCCGGATATACATTCCCGGAATTTTCAGAAAGCGCAGCTATGTTTAGTGTTGTTTGTGCTCCAAGCTGGAAAGAAGGAAATGCTTGTCACCGATGCAAGTCTGCGTTTACCACATTTAGACGCAAGGTAAGATCTTGTTTGTAATTTTGATTTTTACTCACTTAATCCTTTCTTCATAAGAACCTGCTTAGTTGTAATGTTTAGCCTCTTGTCTTCATCGTTTCTTTGAGATTAAATCGACACTTGCAACTTGTACTACGTCTTATTCAGGTAGATAACCGTCACACGTTTTATGACTTATCAACTGTTAAGTCAATTTGTCAACATTAAGGAATTTCTGTTGTCTTATTAAACTTAACCCCGGGAGAATTAGGCCAGTTGGTCGTACTGAAGTTATTTATTAAGAGTATGAAAGTCAACTAGATAAAGAAAAATTTGTCCTTCTGCTGTATTAAAATGAGTAGGTTGTGCTTTATTTGTTCAAGTTGTTTCGCTTAATGCTGTGAAGTAGACTATGTTTCAACGCATCGTGTCACAACCTGTGTTGAGATTGTAGCTCATGTACTTTGGCCATTAAGAACTTAGGCATGAAATATCTCATGAATGAAAGGAAGTCAAGTAATCTAGCTCTGTTAAATAAATGACTGGCACACTAATTTAATTTTTTGATTTTTATTATAGCTTGAAACCACACAGTATTTTTGGTACAAGTATGGAATTTTCAGCTTGTGATGTCGGTAGCCCAGATTTTTGCAGGCCGACTGTAGATATCAGGTGTGCGTCAGCAGGGGATCGAACCCTGGGCCATGTGCATGGTCGGCGAGTGTCCTAACCGTTGTGCTACCGACGCACATGTATCCTAATAAAATTCCTGAGGCATAATCAGGTAAATGTCAAGTATATGCAGCAGGAAAAGTTGGAAATATATCGTTAATTTCTAAAGGATTATTTTTGCGCCACATTTTAAGAAAATTTCCAAAATACTTCACATACGTCTCTAGACAGTTAATTTGCCCAAATTCGCTTCCTCCATGCACATCACATGAACTTTTAGCATGAAATCAATTTTGGATGCTCATTTTTATTCCTGTATTATGTTTTAGCTTCTAATGCTTCAACTATCTGAACTTTAAGTTGTAAATCCAACCAATCACTTTCAAAACCACGTATCAGATAATTTTATTTGGTATAACGTACAGTGATATATTATAACTGAATGATTTTTCGAGAACCCATACAAATTTTAGGCAGTTGTACAGTTAAATGGGCAGTTGACACTCTTGTTAGTCATAGTTTCGTTGATAACCCATCACGTAATCATTGAGTTAAGCGTTGTCGATAAGGCTCAAAGCCCGCTTAGTTTCCCAGAGTTTTTTTTCCGGTCACTTTTTGGTTTAGCTGAGTATTGACACTAAAATTTGAGACGTTTTTATTAGCTAGGATAATTCGTTTCAGACTTAGGAATTGTAGTCATTAGTAATTACTAGTGATCAAATACATGTTTGATTCCCGTCCTTCAACTGAAACTTCGATCAACTTCACATATGATCTTGAACTGTCATTGCTGAATACCTGTAAGGATACACTAAATGGCTATTCCTTCCATTGTTTCAAGTTATTGAAAACTGCCTCAACTGTATTAACTGTCTAATATCGTATGAATCTGGATAGCACTTGGATAAGGGGCAACAAATGAGTCAATAGAGATGCGGCTGACTAACTTAAACACTTGAATTTCACCGACGGGGCCCACTCCACTTACTTTAGCATGAGAAACTGGATAGTGTCACCAGCCATCAAACAAGTGTGACATACGACATATTCCGGGTAACTGAGTTCTAACTAACTAAATAATTAAAAAGTAGCTGTAGCTCAGCCATATTCTTTAAATTGTTATCGCTGTTGACTCGGTCGCCCATCTTGCAAGCTGGTCATAGTATCATCATTCTGTGACGTGGTTTGTGTAATCTCTAACTGCATTCTTGTCCCCGTAATGTCTAAACCGTTAACTACTACTTTTCGCTGCTACTTTAGTATTTTTACCTTGTGCTATCCAGCACTACTTCCAGTTGTTGAGCAGGAATTGGTAACCTGCAATGCTTTCGCTTCTTCTTGTGCTCAATTACTACTAACATGTTGTTTTGCATCAGCCTGGTGTGGGTGAATTTGTTGAAAAAACCTAGTTTCAGTCTTTCTCAGGATCAAAAGTATCTCTTGCTGTTACTACAGTAGGTACTGTCAGGCTTCCATAGGTCTAAAGCAAGCACGCATTTTTCTTTTTCATGATGACATTTCGCAGTTTTCGGTCAGTTGTACGTGGAGTTCAGTGAATCATTCTTTGAGTGTGTACGGATTCGCATATGCCACCACTAAGGTCCGTTTGTGATCACATTTTTGCGTTGTAAATAGATTTACTAAGTTTCCGTAGTGGCAGAGTCTCATTATGTCTATAATTTCTCATATAAACCACCGCTTTTAATTCTATTTTAGCATCATTGCCGTAATTGTGGGCAAGTATTTTGTGGAGAGTGCACCACATCCCGTGCTATCTTACCCAAATATGGTATCGAAAAAGAAGTGCGAGTTTGCGATTTGTGTTTTGAGACAATTAACAGGTAATTTTTCCGAATATTCCTTTCTTACTCTCAGCATTTCTCTATTACTCTGTTAGGTTATAAGCCTAAGTTCTGATAAACTTGCATTTTAATACAAACATTAATTATTTGTGTCACACACTGTATGAACCGAAATCTTGTAGTCCAAAGACTCATATCATCATAACACTTATTTTTTATCTAAACATAAAGTCTCAGCAGTATAAGTATCGCTAAATGCTTAGCATGATGTAGTAATAAAACTAAATAAAGACAAGGTAGAAAGTAACATTGAAAGAATAACAACAGCACTACAAGCGTGTTGATAAAGCACGTATTACTTTGTATTCCCTTTAATAGTGGGAGGATCAAGTAAGCTGGTGCATACAACCGATTAAAACTCTAAATCACTTATCAAGAATTGTCCAGTTGAAGCAACATTAGAATAGTCGAGATATGCGATTTATCCAAAGTATCATTAGTAATTTCCGCATACTTTATTGATATTACCTCTTCAGTTTCTCTCACTCCGTTTTAAGATAATGAGACAACATGAAAAAAATTGGTTGTGCAGTTTTCTATTCCTAGAATGACTCCTATGTTTTATGATACAGACCAGACACCTGCTTGAAGTCTGCGTTTATACATATTGGCTGAAAGTGCATCGCCTAAACCAAAAACTCACAGAGAGTAAATACACTGCGTCATCCATCAAGAACGATTTTGAGTCATATCACATTATTGTCTCCAGCCTTCACTGGTTTTCACCAACCCGAAGACCCCAACCTGGATGTCTACACCTCCTTACGTCTCTGCCTTGTACTAACTGTTGTGGATTTCATTGACTGGTGAAGCCATGTTTTCGTCTGACCACCACCGGCTATCTCTTTTCCAACCGGATGATCCATCCTATGTCAGCTAACATCGCTCATTGTTGTCGAGGAAGGCGATCGATGGCTGGTCATGCGTAACAAACACATGTACTAATCATCTCGATCGATGAACTTCACAACCTCATCGATCGATATTCCCTCCCTACGTAGCACTCGACAGATGCCTTACCTCGCTCGATATTGCTCACACTATCACCTAATTCGGGAGATAGAACTCAGACACTCATGATCAAAGACAGCTAGCTAGTTAGGGTTTTCATATCTTCCACTTTCAATGACCATGTCTCACTAATAGCCATGAAGGAGGTCGAAGCGAACTTCTGAGCAGTACACACATCCTTTGTTCGATAGCCGGTAGGATATCACGTCTACGCCGGAGATGGGCGTCATTTGGCAGGCATATGACAAACGAGATTTCTGTATCCGTGTCGAGATATCGTCAGCCACCAACCCTCTGGTACAAACTGAGGTAACTGCCCAAATAAGTGAAGTTGTTAACACGCTCTACCAACCAGCGGTCGGTGTAATCCAGTTCACCCCAGTCCTGTATCATCCTCTTGCACTGGACATCAGGAGCGAATCGCATTCTAAACATTCAAAGATTGCTGCTTCTCAAGGTGTTCAGAAGACTGCATTTTGTCACAGTCCTCACCTAGAAGGCAGAACTATATCACCTACATATTCTAAGTCAACAAGAGTACTTTCTTTGACATTTCGATCCCTGGAAGTTAAGGTTAAGTCCATAATACAATAATGATGAAATTCAACTAAAATGGGGATAGTGGTGGGTATCCTTGATGATGACAACTCTCCGTAGGCTCTCACCTGACTGGCTGCATGAGTTCCAGTGAAGTGCCTTTATCAGTGCGATGTACATTGTTGGCATTCTCTTCACAGTGAAACATCGCCATGGTACCTCTTGGTCTATGGAATCGAATGCCGCTTTCACGTCAAGATGTATGACGATTGTTGAACGCCGGTAACTGTGTCCATGTTCCGTAATCTGTCTCCCTTCTGATATGTCAGGATAATCAATGACTTACACCAACCCAACGGGACTTCATCAGTTTCCCAGACGCTGCCTAATATGTTGGTCAAGTCAGACAGTAAACTATCTACATTATGCTTCAACACGTATGGAGTCATTCCATCCGATCCCTCTGCTTCACCTCGTTTCAGATTAGAGACATTTTCGTTATCTCAGTTAGGGATGGAGGATCGATGTCTATATCCCATTCAAGTGAAGGTGTTGCATGCTGCATAAGTTGAGTGTGGCTGTGGGCCAGTGAAATTGCTTCTCAAAGTGCTCTTTCGACGTTTCGGTCGTCTATCCTCCGAGCTAATTATAGTATCATTTTTCTCGGAGATTGTTTCACCTATCACTTGCCTTTGGCCACCTGTTTCCCTGATAATTTTAAGTAGTTGTCTGGTGTTACATGTCGCCGATGCCCTTTTTTCGATCTCTTTCGCTCTTGTTACCCACCACTCTTCACGGTCCTTAGGATGACTTTTTGCCAGAATCTGTCTTCTTACGTCGATCAGTTCGGATGAGGTAGTGGAAATCCACTGGCTCTTACTGTCTGTCTGTTTTGGCTCTTACTAACTTTTAGTTTCAGGTTATGAACATCCTTTACAGTTGCGTCTGCAGCTAACTGTATATTGTTCCTCAGGAGGAGTCATGCTGTCGATACGCCTTTCTCTATTTCTTCTTTAAATAGGGACTCAGTGTCTTGGTTTCGAGTTGTGGGCGTGACTGCTTAGCTGCCAACAATTTTTTTATGTCCGTTTAATCGTAACTAAGCATAGACGTGCGCGAACCAGAGCGTGATCGGAGTTCACGCGCGTGTCCCAGATGGAGCGGCAGTCTTCTACTGGTTCTCGTCAACGATACCCTATCTCTATGTGGTATATCTGAGTCCAGTGTTGATTTGGTGATGGAGATCACCAGGTTAGGCAATGTTCTTTCCTCAGTTATTAGTGTGTCGTTGGCCTTGTGGTATCGCTTGTCACTGTTAGAATTGTACTGAGAAATAGTCGTCGTTGTTAAGAAACTACTCTAGTAAAGTTAGTCAGTTAGTGAAAGAATGAACTTTCAACGAATTTTCTAATCCTTGAACTTAATGTACGTACCAGGTTTCGCTTCCGTATCAGTGGGACGAAGCTCTGGAAGTTTATAAACTATCCCATGCATGTCGGCTTGCGATATGTCGATCTTTGTATCGTACAGTCGTGTTTTCTGGTAAGTAGTACATCGAGGAATGGAAATGCCATGTTCGATTCACGTTCTAAGGTGATTTTATTGATGGGTGTGCTGCGTTGAAAGTTTTGAGAAGATAATCTAAATCAGATTTTTCATCACAAATTATGAATGTATTATCTACGTATCTCTTGTGTAAGTGCAGTTGACTTGTCAAAGGATCGAGGATGTTGTTTTCGAGACTCACCATGAAGCAGTCGACTAGGAGTGGACCGAGAGGAGACACCATGACTACACCATCTTTCTGTACATAGAATTGTTCACTGAATTTGAACTGGATATTAAACGTACATTTGAGAAGTAGTTCCTTCAGGTAGTTTATGGGAAGAGGAACTTGTAGGTTGTTGGTTTCTACAGCGAAAATGAATCGTCGAAAAGAAAATTTTCTTCGTAGTTCACGCCTTTTTCTTATTCCCAAGAAGTGTGAAATATTTGTTGTTTTAATGGAACTCAGATGACTTCGAAGCCAAACTTAGTGTTTCATCAACCCCAATCGCTATAGCTAATTTATAGAGATGGACTTAAAGTCAAGATCCATTGGCTACATAGTTTATTAACTATATCTACACCGTTATGTGTATCAGTAGAGTGATTCTTGGGGTAGTCAGAATTCCATTTTTCTTCAGATTCACTACACCTCTTTTATGTTTGGAGAAGATAAAGAAGTCGATTCTTAAAGTGTACATTTCTCAAAGCTCTAAATGTTTATTATAGCTGACAAACAGTATCTTCATACTATTAGCATAATCACAAATTCAAACGACAAGGTTTGTTGTGTAGTCTAAATGGGAAAAGTTTTGTTTGTTATGTCGAACAGTCACTGGATCAGTAAGTATTGGTAAGTTGTCACTTATCAAAACACAGTTCTGTGTTCCAATTCATGTAAGTAGGATGTTTTTTCGTAGCATAATGATTTCCTTGTTCTATGCACTGCAATACTAATTGGTGAAATAATTTTTTTCCCTCTATTGAATCAAGACCGTCAACAGCTTCAAATAATTTAGAAGATAAAAAGAACATGGAAAAAGAGAATCAGGTAGGTATGTTTGTGTTTTGTGTATAAATTAACTTCTTAGATAAAAGTCCTTAATATTTCATAAATTCTCTTAAGTATTCCTAGCGTCTTAAAATTTAACATTCTTAATTCACATTGCTGTGTCTTTTACATAACCGTTATGGAGTTCGCTTTCACAAAAATATTCCAGTTTGTCTTTTGATGCAGTTGTGACACTGTTCGGTATTCCTCACAATGGTTTATAGTTTACAATTTCAGTTTTTGCGATCTTGTTGTATCCTCGGGGGGGGGGGGGCTTAGAATGGCAAAGACTTTTCACTGTTGACTAGCACTCTTATATTTGTATGTTCGAATGTTCTGCTTGTGCATATTTATTACCAAACAGTTCCATAAATGATTCCCTCACATTCTTCTGCAATGTATGATTGATTGATTTTTTTCGGTAAAAGAGTGTGTAGTACTTCTGTCGAATTTCCGTGTATGCACTGAATTCTAGGAATAAGTCAAAATCTGTAAAAGAAAGTGAACGTTTGTAAGATTTATTACACAACAGGAACTATTCCTGTTAACATATCGATTTCTAAGATTGCTAACACTCGTGTATGTTCGTTAAGGGATTCTTTCTTTTCCTTCACATTCCCCAGTGGAACATAAGGCTTCAAGCTAGTGGCTTGAAGTTTCTTTAGCAGTGTTTAATTTTACAGGATGGGGTTGCTAGCCTCATGCCCAATCTTTCCTCTTTACCAGCATTATTTCTGGTTCAGCGAGGTAAAGGAGTGAGTCGGTGGCCGGCGATCGAATCCCGAACCATGTGCATGGTCGGCGAGCGTCCTAACCGCTGTCTCACCGACACAAGGGATTCTGATCAGTTCTACTTCGTTTCTTTCCTTAAATACTTTTCTATTAATTTGTGAATGACATATCTGTTCAAAGTTTTGTCTAAATCTATTTGTCAGTCTGACACTGGATTGGGGTTTCATTTTTTTAAAAATATGACCGAAGTGATGCATCCCCGTCAATCATTCTGATGCTCTTGTAATTTTGTATGTCTTTTTTATCGTACAAGGTTATGAGGTCATATGTTTAAAATCCTAAATATGAATTTTCACTAAGGCTTATCTTATCAACAACATGTTTTCTCGGAAATGCTTGGAATCCTCTGCCGATTGGTAACTACCTAAAGTTAATCTCATAACCTTAAGGTAGAGTATTGTCTAACTTGGTGATGTGTTAGAAACCAGTGTTCTGAGTTACTGTATTACTTTGTTTAAAATGGACCGTACATTCATTTATTCATTATCTTTTTCCATACCGTTAAATGTCTTGGAATCCGGTTACTTTTAATATTTCTCGTGTATCACGAGGTATGTCAACTTGAGCTAAGTCTATATCATGAGGTTTTGCAGTTTATTATTTCGTTATAATGACACAGTTTCAATTTTAGTGGTTCTTATGTTATACATACGCACAATTGGATCATCTATTCTACCTTGCTAGGTTGTGGTAATTGTCCACTTCTAAGCAGTTAAGTTCTATTTTTGCTCTGACTTATTTAGGTTACCAGTTTTGCGATTTTTTGTAAGCTAATTATATTTCGAAGACGAACTGTCTTTGTTGCTCAGAGATTTACAAATTTAACTTTGTCCTAACTACCAGCTTCGACGCGAAAGGGAACTGAAAGAACGACAACTCGAACAACAGGAAAATGAAGATTTGGAATTAGCTCTAGCTTTAAGTGCCAGTGAAGCTGAGACAAACCAACGAAATGTAAGTTGTTACATTGGTATACTTTTTTCATCGTGATTCATAATTACTGAATGAAATATATTTAAATAGTCCTATAACAAATTCACAGCAGTTTCACCTGATGTTATACAAGGTAATATATAATGCTTCTTACTAAGCATCATCGTCGTCATCGTTTGTATCATTGTGAAACCCTATTTTATAGTGCTTTGTTGTGTTCTCTTTGCCGATTGGTTTAAATTGTGAAGTTTTCATTGACCATTTGGAATTCTCTTTAAGTGAAGTAACCTTCCCTGATAACCTTGACTGGGTAGTTAACCACGGGGATTTCTTTATCGTTGTATTAATCAAAACATTCATAATGGGATTTTGTCCTGTGATTCTTATTCCTCTGTAAATTCCATGTTGTCAGAAACATTGTTGGTGAAGTTGTGAGTGCTTTCCATATCAAATTATTTCTTCATGCTTTCACGAATGCATAATATCTCTTTCTTTCCTGATACCATTTGTACTGTCAAGTGGGTGACATATTTGGGCCCGTTGTAAAATCGGGCAAAACGAGTTACTTACAATTTATGAACCATTCGTCTTGCTTTGCGATTTATCCTGACATGAGTTTACTTGAAATTTCTTTTGTTTCCGTTTGGTTACGATTTTTTCACGAGGCAATCACATAAACAAATTATCTTTGAGCAAATCAGTTATCACGTAGGTAGGTTATTTTTTTTTGATTTACAGCTTGATTCCACACTGTATTTTCGGTACAAGTATGGAATTTTCAGCATGGATATCGGTAGCCCAAAATTTGCAGGCCGACCATAGATATCAGATGTGCATCGGCGCGGGCTCGAACCCCGGACCATGTGCATGGTCGGCGAGAGTCCTAACCACTGTGCCACCGACGCATTTATTCAAAGGGAAGTCCCAAAAACTCAATTCAGTTCCATGTTAGTCCTAGAGAATTTGTGGAGAAGGATAGTGATGGCTTCACAATTAAACTATTCTCCTTTGAAAACACGACACCGAAAAAATTGTATTTATCCACTAACCACTTACTTTCTGTTCATTAGTCTTCTGTAGGCCTTCGTTCATGGTAGAATATTATTATTTCCTTTAATTCCTAATTCCTAGAGAAACATAGGGCTTCAGCCGCGCGTCTCCATTGCGTTCGGTTCTCTGCTAGAGTTTTCACCTGGCTCCATGTCTGCCCACATGCTTTCATCTCTTCACATGACCTCCTCCAACTCACCCTTGCACTGACGACGAACTCACCGCTTCCCTTTCGGGTTCCACTCGAGGGCTTGTCTAGTGATGTCACTTGATGGTTTCCTCAGAGTATGACCAATTCATCTCCATTTCTTCCTGCCTATTTGTTGCACAATCGGTTCCTGGTTGCTTCGCTCCCAGAGATCCTTATTGCTGATCTTTTCTGGCCGGCTATCTGATCTTGAGTATTGAGCAAAGACAGCTATTAATGAAGGTCTTTCGTTTGTTTGAGGTGCTCTTTATGACGCGTGGCCAAGTCTCTGGTCCGTATAGCAACACTGACTGACTTCACATTGGAGTTGAAAATCTGGATCTTATTTTGATGGTGAGTGCTGTTGACCTCCACACAGACTTGAGAGTAATAAAAACTTGTGTTGCTTTCCTGATCCTTGCTTTGATATCCCCTTCAGTTCCGTCCGATGCCTCCTAGGTGGGTAGGTAAAGAAGGTTGTCCCCTTCAGACTCTTCCCATTTATGCTGATTGTTGTCTGTTGTTGTTGCTGTTGGTGTTGGCCAGGAATCTTCATCACCTCTGTTTTCTCTATGTTCACCGGAATTCCCTCCTATCTTTGATGCTTCTTCTGCCAACTTGTTGCTCTTCACTTGCATATCTTCCAGTTTGTGGGAAATCAGACATATATCATCATCGATGTCCAGATCCTCCAAGTCTCTTTTTGTGTGAGTCCATTTTATGTCTGTTTCCTCATTGCCCGTCGTCTGTCGCATTATCCAATCTACTGCGATCAGACGATAGCAGAATGTTAATCTGTTTTAATTTTCTGTCAAATAAATAATGATGTTTCGAAAAAAATTTAGTAATTCTCGCATCTTTCGCATTGTCAACCTAGTTGGTGTTATATACTTTCACCCATTCCCATCTAGTATTGTGTAGATTGTTATTTTCCACATATGACTTCAGTAAACAAATAAATGACAGCATCAACTATTGTATATCAGCCTGTCAGTTGTCAACAATATTTCAAGGTATCGTTTATGCATTGTTCGACTGAGAAAAAGTTTCTATGATCGGATAATATACTACTTTGGTTTCCTAAACACCTACATGAAACGAAATTCAAACTCGTATATATATATATATAATGAAAATATGGTTGAAACGTGTGTGCAAGTTCATACATTTTTGCACTTATCTATAAAATTTAATTCATAACGACATTTACACCATACAGTACCTAGCTGATGCCGGTAATGTGCTCTTGTTATGTTATTAGTTTATCCTCTATAGTGAATTTGTTTCTCTTTTCGTAACAGAATCAAGTAAAACCTGTCTCTAATGTCAATAAACCTCCTACATCATCGTCATCATCGACGTCTGGAGTTGCTCATCTCCTTCCGGTTCTAGATACAAGTGAAATGGATCCTGAACTTGCACAATACCTGTCTAAACATTATCAGAGAACGCATAAAACTCCTCTTGAAATGAATTCACCTGGTATGCCATTTCAGGAATATTCTCAGGATCCTTCTGGCCTTTCACAGTCTACTGCTCAACCGAGTGCACCTATATACGCTTCTAGTACACCATCTGAGCATGGTATGCTTTCACTGACCTCACTTAAATCGGGTTTAAATAATGATTTGAACGCATCAGAAAAAAGAGCATCGCTTGTAACAGTAAGTTTTCTGAATTAACTGTTTTAATATCGGTTGTTAACCAGGGTCCTTCATGAAGATATACCACAAATTCATATATATATATATATATATAGAGAGAGAGAGAGGGAGGGAGAGTTTACTGATGACATTACTATGGAATAACATTGGATTTAATGAAAATGCAAATAGTATTACTAGAAGTCTTGGAGGAAGTGAACATGGAGAGACTAGAAATGGAAAGAATAAAACAAAGTGTACAGTTAGCTATAGTCGAATTTTCGTTGTATTATATAAATGCTCGATTTCGCCCATAGTGTGTTGCTGTGATTTGGTCGTTAGAGGACATTAAAGTGCATGATGAAATCCTGGCTCCAGCTTTCAAACAACACATTTCTGCAGTGCGAAAATTGCAATGCTTTGATATTCAACGTATATGACATGTGTCTCACATCTATTAAACTTGAGGCAATGCTACAAAACTGTTCTGTACCAACTTCTTATTTTGAAGGCAGAGGACTGAGTGTCTGACTGCTTTCTGGTCAAGTGGTTGCTGATAAAATCACTGAATGGATAAAGAAAGAATTGTTAGGAATTTATGATTTTTCTCCACACCTTAATATCCTCCAGTGGTTAGCCAGTGAGTGACTGTCTTGTACAGCAATCCCCTCTGTTTTTCTGGGGTATGTGATAATTAAAGCCAAAAACAAAAAAAATGTATGTATATATTTATTATGTCTTTGAAGTAACCTATAGCTGTAGTGAAACAACAAGAAGCTAAGTGAGAAAATCATTTCGAATCGTGTAGCTATGGATATGCATTGAAAGAGATTTCCGAGATATTCTTAGTACATATGGACAAAGACAAAGGTATACGTATTTTACTGCATCCTCCACTCTTGAATATTTTCTCTTCTGAATGAAAAGTCTTTACTTTTTTGTTTGAATTTCACTCACCTTACTCCTGTGGTTATTGCAAAATATTTTCGTAATTAGACAGCCTCTTATACCAACAAACTGTTTCGAATTGAACTTTGTTTCTATCCAAAGGTTTGGTCTCTGTCCCCAGTTTTTCAAGAATATTCGTTTAATAATCTTATATAAATAGTTAATCCTTTTGGCATCTAATAATTAAACTACTCTTACACTATTCTGACTTATCTCACGTATGCTTCTTGTCAATAACTCATTGCCAGTGTGGTAAGAGCATATACAAGCTTCTTTATAATTTGTATATTTTGATACTGTTTAAGTTGTAAAGAATCTGCAAAATAATAAAAATAAGCTCATATTTATCCTGTTACACTTGTTGTTCTTGCTTTCCTTAAATTTACCACTGGGAAGAATCGCTACTATATTAATGAAAACCATATCAGATTCTCATTTCTCAGTAAATTTAAAACAGTTTATTTGTTAGTAAAAATGACTTTCAAAAATATTATTTTCAGAATTCAGTTAATGGAAATAGTGATGTAAACTCCACTATGCCAGAAGTTCCTGAATTAACAAATCCAAAGCAAGAAGAGTTTCTTGAAGCTTTACGCGGTAGTATAGAATTCTTTGTGAATCGCTTGCAAAGCAATAATCAAAGAGGACGGAATATTTCAAGTGATACAACAGTCCAAGCTTTATTTCTTACTCTGAATGATATGCACCCACAACTATTGAAGTATAAACATTTCATGGAGGAACGGCGAGGTGAGCATTTCAATTGTTTCCTCAAGTTCAGTTAACCCGATTTTACTATTTGGCTGTGATAGTTACCAGAATTATTATAGCACCAATAGTATTACTGATATCGAAGAAACTTACTGGCAGATGAATAACTATCATTTTATCAGCAGCATATTATTATATATTAAGCCAGTGATACAAGATTACGTTCAGCAGATTACTGATACCTGGCTTGTGAATATTATTTTAGAACACTTTATTATGCTTTTTTTAACCTCCTCGTTTTATTTTTTTTGGAATATTTATCGTCCGCCTTTACTTATTTTTTATCCTAGCCTATTTTGAGAAGCTGCAAGATAAATTGAATCAAATTCGAGAAGCTCGTGAGGCTTTAGATGCACTGCGTCATGATCATGCTATTCGCAAACAGATGGAAGAGCAAGAAGCAGCTCGTTTGCGTCAACTACAAATTATGCAGAAATTAGAAGCTATGCGTCAGCAGAAAAGAGTAAGTTAAGCGTAAGTCTTGGCTGGTCTGTATGCATAATGCAAAATCTGATGGAATTCATATTTCGCTTAATTTAGCGTTTTTTGTGTATAAATAATCAAAGAATGGTAGTGGCCTTCGACAGCAATATAAAGAATATCGTAGGCGTAAATACCAATGCATTTGTTGGTACTTACAATTCAATAGCCATCACACATTCATCTTCAATATCATTTCCAATAGTAAGGCTTTTTTCAGTTGTAGTAATGGGGCATACTCCTATCAGAGAAGTTCTAGTGATTAATTACCCAACTTTATAGAAAGGCACTGAATACCCTTAGTGTAAACAAGTTGACTGTTGCTTCCATTCCTGAAAAACAGTGAAAATAAAAATGTTGGATATACTTATCCCGAAAAGTGATGTTATCAGTTTAGTCACCGTCTTTATCGCATCCGCATATAAATTATGTGTTATCCTTGATGTGGGATATAATTTTGGTATTTTTACCAAAGGTTTAGTGTTGCGCGAGTGGGGGTGATTTTAGGTATCGTTATATTTCCATGTGCTCAAAGAATCAAGCCAGCATATTCAGTCTATGCAATCATCTCTCTTAGGTGGCTAATGTTTTATAAACATCTATAGCGTAAACGTTAATTTACCACTAACCAGTATACGCAATGCTTTAAATTGGATGTATTTTTTCAGATCAACAAAGTATCCTGAGAAAACCGACTATTCTATGAATTTAGTTATTAAAAATAGGTGTTAAGATATTGTTGTATCATATAAGAAATAAGTCTTATAATAGCTTTTACGAATTTAAAATAGGCAACAGAGGCGGGGTTTAATGAATTTATCAAATTTCGGTAGAACTGATCAACTCAACTAATATATATCCTTGGACATTTTACTAATTATCCATTCTACTTTTTATGCATGCACTGTGAAAAAAGAGTTGTAAATTTTTCAAATCAATCGTCAAACCTTTTTTTAATGCAAACTTCGATGTATCTCTATGTAGGATTCTCTGGAATACAAACTGCGTATGACACTTAAACAAAATATGCAATATCAACAAGAGTTTGGAGTGTCACAACCACAGCCTATGTCGTATAATGTTGAAACATTTCCTCATGTGCCGAATGCCTTGCCTGCAGACAGCTACCCTTCTAATTATAACTTACCTTATACGTCTGGACTTAATTACTCACAGTTTCAACCTGTGCAAAATGGTTATCTGCCAAGAGACAACAGAGTATATACTACGCAACTACCAGAACCAGTTTCACTTCCGCCTAACCAAAATGTCACTAGTGGGTCAGCTAATACAGCTTACCCAACTGCGCACTTCCATCCCTCTTATGTTCCCAATCTACCCGGGCAAGATATTCAGTCACATCCGACATTCCAACAGGGAACACATAATCCAGTGCCTGCCAATTCTTTCTCCATGCAAAGTGAGTCTTTTGAATATGTGATATGTCAAATATATATATATATATATATATATATATATATATTATATATATATATATATTGATGTGGCTGCGTTCTCTGAGCTGGATGGTTTACTTGCGGAGCTCCCACTTCCTTACTAGGCAACATCTTCAGCGCATACTTCCATTTGAAGTGAGCTTTTAAATCTCTTCACGAGTTTACTAGTCATCTCTCCTGGTAAACTTGGACGTGATTGGTTGCCTTTGTTTTCACACCCTCTAGTCTACTTTTATTAGTATTGATCGGTTTCTTGACCTGAAGTTCGAAAGCTTCCCAAGTAAACCATCCAGCTCAGAGAACGCAACTAAATCGAAATCATCCACCTGAGCTACAAATCTCCATTATATCTATCCATCTATATCTATATATACACGTACATGTATAAACTCACTTATTGGGCTTCAAATGTTTTTTTTTAACATTTAGATATGCAGACAGCCTTGCCAATGTATTCAGGACAAGAGGATACTGCTCGTGAGGAATTAAAGTCTTTTCCCACTAATCAAACATATACGTCCAGCCAATATCCGACAGAAACACAGAATACTTCCAGTTATGCTCCAGGTGGGACTGTACCAAGGGATACTCCAAGCAACTTTGTCGAACCAGCCACTACAGAAGCTCAATTGATATCCTTCGACTAAACAGAAGAATTGGATTCATTCATCTTATACACCAATCAAATCTCGTGATATACATATTTTTTTGAGAAATTCGTGTTGAATTTAGTCATTCGTATTTCACTCGTTTTACGCTTGTTTTCTTTCTTTAACACAAATGGAAGATACCATAAATGTGATTTGATTTTATTGATTTTTTTACATTTTAATGGCTTACTTGTTGTTTTATTTCCTCTTTACGGTTCTATTATTTTATACTTTTAATTTTACCTTTATCATTATGATCATTATTATTATTATTGTGAATTTCACTGACATTTTACAAAGTATCTTGTTGACACTGGGACAATTTTAACTTTACCCACTTTACTTGGACAATTTTAAATACTAAGCTCTAATAGGTAAATAAAAAAGCACTGTAGAGGTAAGTACAATACAACGGTAAAGATAATCATCTGTGATTCCCGCTTTATTAATATTTTTTTCTTTTTATTCAATGCAATCAATGAATTGCAAACCATAGCTAATAATTTTTGAATAATCCGAGAACAAAACCTTGAAATTACGAAGTACAAATATTGGACGTGCACGTCTTTCGGCTGGACAGGTTAATCACTTCAATTACACTAAAATACTAGATGTAAATCACTCACTACATAATACCAATGATTATGTAGAAGCAGCTTTAATGTTGAGTGTATGTGTGTTAACCAACCTACCATGCCAGGAAGGTTGTTAGGTCAGTGATTAGAGTAAAAGCAGTTGCCGGAACAGTGTGAGATTACTTTTCGCTATTCTTGGCGTCATGAAGAAAATAAAAAAACAATTCAGCGAATAAAAATTTCTTTATCAACGAAATCATCTTCAGAGGCTATACAGTCGTCTTTATAACTACCGAAAATGTATAGTAGTCTATTATTGCGTAATGGGGCCTGACATAATTAATATAATTGCTCAGATTTGGCTTTAGAAGTACAAACAGAAGTTGAAATTTACGTAGTACTCAACTGCACAAAGGAAGTAAGGGTTAGAAATTTGATAAGGCTAAAATTGCTACTGATTAAGAATAAAAGTAGTTGATTTTAAACTTAACAAGTGTGGAAAAGGTGTGAAAACGTACAAAAAGAATAGATGAGAGTGATAATAGTGAACTGATTATTAAAGTAAAATTAAAAATAAATAAAACCTTTTACAGGGAACGACTAGTGAAGAGTTTAAGACTATAAGAATAAGAGACTGGACGAACTTTTTCTGTATACGGAGTTCGCGGTTGTATTGCAGAATCGCTAACGCCTCCGCCATATACAAATGCCGAAACCTGACGCCCTTTGTACCGTTTGGCCTCACTTTGTAGATTATTTTGAATGACGACTCTGGTGGAGCTACGTGGCTCGAGTTCACCAAGTGCTTGTTAATTGAGCTGGTAACTGTCTTGCATTGTCCTTTTGCTAACCATGCTGGATAATGTACAGAGATGCGTTTGGAAAGTGTGCGCTTATGTGGCCAAAATAACTAGTTCCACACGAGCAGGTGAATTTATAAACACACTTTGAAGTGACCCAAAGCGACTGTTTATCCTTCACATATCCATTGATCATTTGTTGGCTGTATAAATTGATGCGTGGCTCAGCCACAAAGAAAGCTTTTCTCAGCGATCTGAATAAGCGATTCTTAAGGATTACAGCTGCGGCATCACCTTGAAATTCAGCTTTCATAAGTATCAGTTTCTTCGGGACCGTCTGAGTTGCTCCAACTCCCCGTCGATAGTATCACTTGAACATATCATTCTGATTATTGAGCGTAAGAAATGGATCAGATTCTTCTTGGATGTATTCTTCCCTAACTTGTAGAATATTCATATGGTTGGTGATGATTGACTGGAAGTAAAAATCTGACTGGTTGCAAGATTCGGACCAATAGCTTCCGATTTACTCATCGTTTGACTGACTAACAGTGTTTTAATATAGAACTTTGCCCATACATGCAGCAATTCAAGCAGCCACACTCCATGTATCACACAAAGGAGAAAGAAAAATAGATACGAAAGGACCATAATAAACAGAAATGTGGGTGAGAATGAATAGCAGTGTGAAAAGAAACTTGACTGTTTAGTGGATATGGGGTATTACGAGAAGTGAATGCGTCTCCGCCATCGGAAACGATTCTGAGCCATGTCACCAATAGCCTCCAATCATTGGTTCTTAGTATCCCAAGGACTCCAACTAGACAGCCTAAACCTCCCTATGTGGTTCAAACCAACTGCCACTCTTCATGGACTGATTCCGGGTTTCGATCAGACGACCACACTGCTCTTTGAAGAAGGAGATGGTTTGGTCTTCTCAAAACGTGTCCTAGACATCTCAGTCGATGTGGCTTCACAACCTCATCGATTGACTTACCATCCTCACCGAACGCTCTACGCCTAACGTCGATACTACTCACCATACTATCCACTTAAGAAGGGTAACAGGGCTCAAATACCTGTGGTCAAAGGCAGTTGTCTGCATTTCTGAAGCCATTGTGAGTTCCATCAGTAGTTATGGAAGAGGAAAATCTCAAAACTATGGCGGACATTTAATTCATTTTTTTCAGAGTGGTTATACAGTAGCTGCAACGCGTAGGCATTCATTTACAACCGAGTGGAAAAACGTGTGTAGCGTTTCTCCTTTCAATACACTTTAAGAATGCATTAACAATTTAACTGTCAGTCATATATGACAACTTTTGTGTCATAAAATGATGTTTTGACATTAAAAATTGATATTCAGCTGTAAGAAAAAGCCGCCCCTAGTATATTAGATTATATATCTAGCTTCCATTGATACTAGAGTATTGGTATATGCTTAATGAAAGTATTCCACATTTAATAATTCCTATTAGTATTTTACGGCTAACGTGAACCTTTGTGTAGCTGTTGTATATGTGTTTCTTTACTATGCTAATATGTCTGATCCAGATCATTTCGTTTGGTTTTTTGGCGAACGTATCTACAAGCTTCAGTTTATCCTATGCAATAAAACAGCTAACTCCTGGTGTTAGTGTGGGTTGAACTGTATTTTCTTTCGGTCTCTTGTACTTTGTCGAGTATTCTGCTCAGTTTCGTGATTGGCGGCTTTGATTACCTACCATAATCATGTCACCATGTGATAGCTGCTGATGTCCGTCTATACTTTCTGAAAAACCAGTAGTTGACTTTGAATCGATATGTGATAGTCAGGTACAATAGAATGGGAAACCTTTTAGTTAGTTGTCTCAACGTAATTGGGAAACAAATGTTATGATGACTACTGAAAGGCTAAACCAGCATACGGTGCACTGAAGCACTGTCAGATTCAAATCAGATGCTCTAAAAGAGCCACCAATGCCACTGGTAACTGTTTATAACATAGGTCCAGTCGAGTAGCGAACAGATGTCTCTAGATGGAGCTACAGTGTCTGGATGACGACACAACTTTCACTTGCATCCACCATTGTGCAGGCAAAGCTGATGAAAGTACAACACTTCTTATGCCAGTTACCTTTCACATCTATCATAGACCGTTCGTAAACTTGTGTTAAAGATCCAGCATAGTGTAATTTCATCTGTATCGCGTGGTGGAACAGTACAACATAACTCGTAGATTGAAAACCTGAAATGTGCTTTCCAAGGTGATGACTGTTGTCCTGGGCTCCGAGCACATCGCCGCCTCACTCTGTTCTCTACAGTGTTTTCTTGCTGGCTTCACGACCACCCACAAGCTTTCATTTCCTCTCCACACAGTCTCTTCAATACCACCCTCGGACGCTCAAGACGTCGTTCCTCATGCGGGTTCCACTTGGAGATCTTGTGTGTGATGTCATGTAACCGCCTCCTCAATGTGTGTTTAGTCCATCTCCATTTCCTTCTGCATATTTCTTGAGCGATAGGTTACTGGTTGTTTCGTTGTCAAAGTTCCTTGTCACTTATGTTTTCTGGCCAGCCATCTGACTTTCAGTATCGGTCCAGAGAAGACAGTTTCTAATGAAGTTTTGTAGTCGCCTGTTAGAAATGCTTTTCGTGACGTCAGCAGCAAGTATCTGAACCGTAGAGAATCACTGACTTGATATCGGTGTAGGAGATTTGAATTATTCTCCATGTGCTGAATGTAGTATAATTCCAAACTGATGTCAGAGCAATGAAGGTCTGTCTTGCTTCCACAGTCCCGATTTTGACATCCACATCCGTGCCACTTGCTTGTAGTTGAAACGATGAATTAGAGGCAATAGGTGAGTTCCTTTAGGTTCTTCTCGTTGATGGTAATTAGTGCTTGTTGTTGGTTAGATATCTTCATCACCTGTATCTTCTCTAAGTCCACTTGAACTTTTGTCCACATTGACCATTCTGCAAATTAGTTGGCTTTCGTTCTCAGATCTGTGAGTTTGTGTGATACTAGACGTAAATGATCTGCGAAGTCCAGATCTTCTAGTGTATTTTGTCGGTTCAACTGACGCCACATGATCTGTAGTGTGATGCAGTCCACCACAATCAATAATATCATCGTTCTCTTACTCCTGTCCTCCCTTCAAACGCTTCGCTGAGTTTTCCGTTGTGAATCACTCTGAATATGGCATCAACATATTGCTGTTGAGTGTGGTTTATAAATGTTTTCTGAGTTCCATTTCGTGGAGTTGAACCCATCTCCAAATCACTTCACGGTCGACGCTGTCGTAAGACTTTTCAAAGTGGATGATGCCGAATCGGAGAGTTAATAGCGATTCTATGCTATCTTCGATGATGATGTGTAGCGCTGCAATTTTATCAGCACATGATTGACTTTTCTTGAATTTGGCTTGATCCGAATGGAGTTTTGTATGCAATGAATCTTTTAGTCTTTGTGAGGCGATCCGATTTAATGTTTTGCTTGGTATGGACAGGAGCATGATCCCACCGTAGTTCATTCATTCTAATATTGGGGGTTAGATTAGGTGGTCAAAAAGTGGTTGTAATTTTGCTCGAAATATTACCTAATACCAAAACATATAATTGTGTGTAAACTATTGAAATA